CACCGTTGTTGGCAGCACCGTTGTTGGCAGCACCGCTATTGGCAGCGCCTTTGTCGGCAGCGCCTTTGTCGGCAGCATCCGCAGCGCCATTGTTCGCAGCACCATTATTGGCAGCTCCGCCATTCTTCTTGCCACCTTTCTTGCCTTTGCCCTTCTTTGCACCACCAGCCGCCCCAGCGGCGGCAGCACCCTTCTTAGCATCACCAGACGCCCCGGCCGCGGCAGCGCCCTTCTTGGCAGCACCCTTCTTGGCACCGGCAGCACCCTTCTTTGCGCCCTTGGCCTTTTTCTTGGGCTCGCGCTTGTCCAGGGCAATCTCTTCGTCTTCCTCATCATCATCATCGTCAGCGTCGTCGACGGCCTCGACGGCAGTCTGAGTATCCTCGGCCGCACGGGTCTTGAGCGTATAAAGGTCCGCCACTGCGGCGGCGGCGCGGGCGTCGGACAAGTCGCGCTGCTCAGAGCCGGCGGCATCGATAAGAGGGGCGGCCAGCGCGCCAGCGAGGAGGGAAACAAGAACAGTGGTGGTGGCAAACTTCATTTTGGCCGGAAAATGAACAGATGAGAAGTGAAGTGAAGTAAAGTAAAGTGAATGATGTTAGATTTAAAGGCTGTAGATGAGATCTTGGTCGATGAGTATAGTCTCCTGTTCATGGACGTCATTTGCCTCTATATATATATATGCTTGACCACGGCGACTTACACGAAGCAAGGCCGTATACAAAACACTTGACCGACAGAGCCTAGAACCCGTGGGACGCGTGGATCGGTTACTTCGGCAGAATCCCCGGCCTCAGTCTTGGCATGAAACAGATGATGAGACTGGATGAGGCAATGTCATGCGAGTCGGCCGTGAAGCTCTGTGTTTGTAGACGGGGGCTTAGCTTGTAGATGAAGAAGCTAGCGTGTGCCTGCGGCAAACTCGTGATTTTCCTTCTCAACTCCTCAAGAGTAGGTTTCAAAAAGAGACAGACTAATCAGATTTCAAGTTTACTCTTGTGCAAAAATTCAACATTTGTATTTACTGAAAACGTTGAGCGTGTTGAAAGCGCCGAGGCAAGGCAACCCGCTTTCCACAGACCGAACTTGTCGAGGACAGATGCAGGGCTGAGGAATTTTTTTCGGCAAGGAAAACAGCAGTCAATGCTTGCCCAGCGTAATTCGGCTAAAACGGCATTGCAGTCGTCGTCACGAACTGCTCAGACGACGAAGCTGCGGCTGGGATTGCAGCATAAATGGCGGGATGCTCCACAGAGCTGGCCGAACCGCATGCAACAATTTGCTCAAGAAAACGGCACCAGCGTCTTGGCTTTTGTCTTGGCTTTTGTTCCATTTTCCCAGTTTTGGTAAGGTTGCACTCCTTTACGCAAATCATCTCAAGACACACACACATCATGCTTGGCGATGGGCAGGGTGACTTCGCGCACATCTCGCGTTTCAAGGGTCAAGGCGTTTCAATCAACACTGCGCCCCCCCGCCACACTGCGCCTTGCACCCAGTATCATTGATGATCAAGTCAAACCGTTCATTCGTATACGAGTATATACATGCGTCGCACAAAGTAACAAATAGATCAAGCCGAGTATATACAGTCTGACGGCCATGCTGTCGTCTGCCGCTTAGCTTCATGCGAGAATCACACTAATGTATCTTTTCTCCCTTGGCCAACACCTTGTAAGTGCAGCCCTTCCAATCACATGTATTCTACAGAAAATATTTGTCAGCGACTGGCCATGTGAAAAGCAAACGGAGCAGAAATCAGTTACCTTGTGCACCTCGGTTCCCCACCACTTAAAGTGGCTGGAGGCGCCCGTGTAGAAGATGGAAAAGAAGATCAAGATTCCCGCAATGGCCACGGAACAGTCCATGGCCGAGCTGAGAATAAAGTTGTACTGCTTCCACCACAGCCTCTTGCGCTGCTTGATCAAGAGACCAAAGATGAGGCCGACAATTGCCCAACTGCCATAGTTGGTACCCGAGGCCGGCGGGATAAAGTTGAGGCCACCCAGAAACAGTGGGATGTGGATTTGCTTGAGCCACTTGGTCTTGGGAAAAGCATAATTTTTGAGCACATAGACCACCGGCGGGAGCAGGGCACCGAGGAGGAAGAACCAGAGCAGGTTTCGATACAGGGCGCCATTGGCAAAGAAGCGGCGCGGACCAATGGCACCCCAAACCATGCTCGTGTTGAAGTGGGTGCGGGAAAAGGGGCAGGTGAAGCCATTTTCAGCCTTGTTGGTGCAGATATCGGGGATGTGGTTGAGGGCCCATTCTAGTACGGCGACTTGACCGAGTGTGCCCATGATGATGCCAACGATTTGGACGGTAAAGAGCTTGCGAGGGGGTATCTGCATCGGTCAAATGTTGTCAATGCCTGGCCTACAGAAACACGTATCGCGCAATACTCACATTGCAATAAATGCCAAGTTTCAAGTCTTGGGCAAAGGCAAGGCCCTTGATGCCGGAAATGTAGCCAATGTTGAAGAACCAAATGTTGGCCAGCACCTTGCCCTCCCAGATGTATCCTGCAACAAGGCGGCAAAAGATGTCAATCTGAATCTTGATGTTTGTGGTGGCGTAGAGCCAAGCGAGCTGGTTTTTGGTCAGGGTGTCCTGCTTCCAATTCTGGTGCGAGTGCTAAAAAACTTACAGGAATAAAGAAAAAGGCAGAAATGAGCATGGCCAGGAGAACACCGTACCAGTGCAGCTGGACAGGGTAGTACTCGCAGGCAAAGATGCCCACCCCGATAGAAACAGCGGTGGCGACAAGGTACCACCACGTCGGCACTGTTCCGTACGCCTGCTCTCGGACAGTCTTTTCCGTCTTGGGAGCCAGGCCCAGGGTGACGGCCAGCGACGAGTTGCAGAAGCCCTCGTAGATTTCCTGACGCTTTTCGAGAATGAGCCACACAATCAGCGCCGCAATACTGGCAAAGCAGAGACCAAAGGTGTTGAGAGCATATGTCACGGGCAGATAGATTGGCGAGTACTTGTCGTACTTTGCCAGGTCCAGCACAAAGCCGTCCTTTTTATCAATGACTCTGGTTACGTTGTAGACCTTGCCCAGGTTGTCGTAGATGGAATTAGTTTGCATCGGCAGATAGGCAGTAAACCACGTGTTGCTGTAGTAAATGGCAGGCGTGACAATGTAGATCCAAAAGACCAGAGAGGCTGCAATGTTGAGAATGGCCCAAGTCGGGATGACGAGTGGTGAGCCAATGTATGCAATTTGCGCCCCTGTGATGGACATGTTAGCGCCGGTCAAGAGAATGTATGATGTTGAGTAGACTCACAGTCAAAGGTAAATGGCAAGAGACCGATACCGCTCTTCATGCCAAAGATTTGATTGACGACGGCATTTTTGGGCGCAATCCAGCACACCCACGTAAAGTAGCCGAGCGCGGGAAAAATAAAGTCGGGGAACCAGTACCAGATAAAGGACACGGCAAACGCCATGAGAAAGAATCTGTATCTGGCTCTGTTGGAGATGTCAGTAGGAACGGGAACCCTGCACTGGTTAGCTTTTGCATTTTTACACTGTTTTGAGTCGAAGCCAGTTATATATATATATAAGAAAAAAAAACATACTCGCTCTTATAAGTCTTTTCGACGGGATGCAGCGCCGAGTTTAGCGCCGTGTTGCCCAGCACACCAGGCCACATCAAGCGAGGCGGCTCGACAATAATCGAGCGAGACAAGCCCGCCAGAGCAAAGCCAAACAGGAGCGTCGCCAGCGTTATGGTAATCTCAAACCCCCAGCCGAGGTTCAGCCCGTAAAAGACGCGCTGCTCCGTCAGGACGTCGGCGCTCAGCCGGGTCAGGAAGCTCAGGTTGGCGAGGATGTAGATGAGGATATTCTCCTTGTAGTTGAACGGGCCCGGGTTCAGGCTGTAGCGCGCGCCGCCGGGGACGGTGACGCCCCAGTCCGGGACGGCCATGTGCCAGACGCGGCCGACGGGGTAGGACAGCAGCTGAATGGCCGACTGGGAGAGCGTGACGGCGGGGAAGCGAAAGGTGAAGAGCGTGTTGACGCCGCTGCCAATGAGGCAAAAGGCGATGCCGATAACCCACATGCGAATCGTGAGGCAGGGCATTTCGGGGTCGTCGAGACGTTGGCCGATGCCAGCGGCGACGAGCGTCTCTTCGCGCGAGGGCGTCGAACTGGCGACTGGGGGTTGAACATGGGCTTGTCAGTAATTGGGAGGGGACAGGTTGTACGATGACGATGCCCAGATGGAGGAGGACCAACTTACTCGAAGGCGGTCGACCGCTAACTTCGCCAGACGAAGCCCGGCGGTCACTGTCATCCTTGAAACGAACCTCGACCGTGTCGGCCATTTTGTTGCCCATGCTACTCAACAAGATTCAGCAAAGTCGGGAATGGCACACAACCAGGCAGACGTGGATGAGAGTGTCGGAACGAGATGCAAGAAGAGGGGGCCAACGCCGGACGAGCGAGTAGAGGTAGTTATGACAAAAAGGTCCCCCCCCTCCCAGTCAGCGATTGATCTGATAAGATCAAATTTTCACATTTCTAGGTTTCTTGTTGGATCAGAATCGTTCTCCATGAGGCGTGGTCCTTGATCAGCCATTTTCTCCATAACTTTGAAAATATCCCTCGTTCTAATCTGAATGAGGCTCTGGCAGCCGAACCCTCGGCCAACAATTGCCTGTTTTTTTTTCTTCTTTCCTCTCTCTCGACTATTTGCCCCCGGGCTGGGGGTGGGTGCTAGGCCGACGCGGGAGCATGGACAGACACTAGTTAGTAGTTGACGCGACCCCAAGATATTACATGGTGGAGAAGGAAACACAGAAAAAAGATATCCACTTGGCATGATCAATATTACTCTTACTGCATAGTAAGAACCAGCCCATGTCGGAAAAACGCAGACGGAAACAAAAGCAATAGAGTTTCACTAGAAGGCTTTGTGAGCTCTAGCCAAGCCAAAGGGGCATGCATTCATTGTCTCTTTCCTATCTCTGCTAGACGCCCGAGAAGCGCGGCGCGTTGAAAGGAGAGAGCTTGTACAGTTTCCTTGGGCCTAGCTTACACAAGGAGATTTAGCCCGGAATCGTTACCGGCCGAAGCTCCGAAGATGACCTCCCCCCTCCTCTCGGCCGGTGCGAGGGCGAGGCAGGGGTTCCTATCACGCCACGCAGCAAAAGGTGGTTTCCGAAACTGGCTGTCCCGCAGCCATTATGTAGGGGGCATGGGCATGGCTGGGCCAACTGATTGATTTGATTGATTGATAGCTTTGCCACCGGACTTCTAAAAACCCTCCCGCCATCGGGCCACCATTCATCAACGAGGCTTTTTGCCTCTTGCCAAGAAGCAGCGAAGCACATCATGCACGACGGCACGCTGCCCCAGACGCGCCCCTCTAAATCGTCTCCATAAGTTGAGCCGAGTTCCGTGTTGGAGGGAGGCAGTGCTTACCATTCTGTGGGAACAGGTATGCCAGGGTCTCGCGGCGAACAAAGACGGCGGCGATCGGGTTCCTTTCTCCCACACTTTTTTTTTAATCCCGTACGAAAACCACAAATGGCTGCGGAATCGGGTTCTTCTTCTCCTCGACACAAGTTGCGGAAAGATGAACAACACACGGGGGGGGTGATGGGCGAGGGG